TTACAGCAGTATGATCTCACAGTGAAGTATAAGCCTGGGAAGGAAATTCCAATGGCAGATTGCCTGTCAAGGGTGTTTCCAGAAGGACATGAAGCGAGGGATTAATCTAGGTTGGAAGAGCAGGTACATACAGTACTAGTGAACATGCCAATATCAGATGTATGGCTGGAGAAAATAAGACAAGACACCAAACAGAACAAAGTATTAGGGAAACTAACTCGTGTCATGTGCAATGGCTGACCAGAAAAATGCAAGAATGAATGCATGAATGCCGGTAGGTTAGCCATCCTTAAAAGGACGGAACGTGAGGAATTAGCCTTGGAGCGATGTCTCATCGCCAGTGACTTGAGGCAGCTCTAACAGTGACTTCGCTTCTTTCCTTTACCTCAGACCTGATCTCATCCTCGTCGCCAGTGTTCTATAGGGAGAACAGGCAGACAGGAACTGAGGCAAGGCAGGTTGAAGCTAACACAAACTTTATTATAGTAACATACAGCTCAATGTAAGGCAAACCTCGAACCGGCAAACAGCAAAACATTTGACAGCTGACAGCCCTTTTATACTAGAACTGTCAGACACTAAACCAATAGAATGGCTGGATTCTCCTGCCAGCTGACTGCTCGCGTCTTAGCCAATCAGGAGCTAGCAATGCAAGTCAATGGCATCGTAGCCTCGAGGACTTAAGTGGACAAGGTGGAATTTGGGCACAGTGTTCTTTTTAACATCTTCAACTGTTGTATAACAGTTTATTATCAATCTTTCAACAGTAACCTTCCTGAAGCAAATAAATTAATAATCTGCTGGCTCACCTTTGTCATTGTTGTGTCAGCATGGAAAAAGGATAGAGAAGAAAAGAAAACACACAAAAAATAGCAAGAAGTAAAATGTAGTTCATGCTTTTAATGAAATGAAAGATAAAAATGAGTGGGGCAAACCTGTGGTTCAATTAGTGGATATGCCTTGACCTTTCCCAATAGAATTGAGAGAGGATCGCTGAAATGACTTGAATATACTTTCCTGAAAATTAAATGAAATATTTAATTCAGCCCATTGTGGATTTTTGTTTTTTCTGCTCCATGCATTCTGTGATCCTGTAAGAATTTATTTTTAAAAAAGATTCTCATTACTTAAAGTTGTGATTCTTTCAGGTGGAGTGAATGCATCACATACATGTAGGAAACTGTTTACTACTATTGGAGGAAAATTTGGAATTGGGACATTACATATATCAAAGGTGTTCATATAAAGCAAAGGGAGAGAAATGGCACAGGCATTCAATTGCAGAAGTTATATAGTACCAGCTTGAGGTTGCAATCTCTTGATTCTCAGCTACTTTTGTGGATTTGATTTAAATATAAAAAATGGTATTAATAAGATTGCCTTTATTTTATGAGAGAAGTGTATGTAAGATGGAGTGTTCTTATGAAATTGCCTTTTTGTAATGCCTAAATGTCTTCATGCAGTTTGAAAGATGTAGCCCATATCAAGGACCAAATTCTGTCTCACATCACATATGAATATGTCCAGCAAGATAATATAGAGGGCAGTCATTGATATAGGCGTGGCTATGATCATTTCCTTATGCAATTAAAGTAACATGGATTTGTCCAGGTTTCAAGTTAATGTAAAGTTTATCACTGACAGAGCATAAAGCAAGGGATAAATATCTTCTTTGCATGGTTTCTCTAACTGATAGAACAGCTTTGCCAGGCACACATTTTGTTCCTGTGTTTTTCATAGAAGAGGCATTTATTACATACTATATTGTATTTCTAAGTTATTCAAAATTCTCTCAATGGATTAATTATTACAACATTAAAAAGTATTTCCCTCAAAGAAGAAAAATCATAAATCAATAAAATGCAAAGACTACATAGAAACAGAACAGTTACTATTCCATTTTATAGAATATTTTGTATTTGTCAGAACTACTACTAATGAATCTCAGAGCTCTTTAAATGTGGAAGCCTAAATATAGGATTAAATTACTTTAGTATAATATATAAATTTTATCTTGAGTCTTGTTTCTGTCTCATAAGAAATTAGTTGTTTATACCAATTGTGATGGATAGATAAATATTTTATTCTCTGTAAAATATTACTTCTGTGAAGGTTTTAACACTTGCCAGATTTTGTCTTATTTGTTCATATTTGTTACAGTTTATTATGCTGACTTATATCTTCATGTTGGCCTGGCTGGGAGTTACAGCCTTCACCTCTCTGCCCGTTTACATGTATTTCAACCTGTGGACCATTTGTAAAAACACCACTCTTGTGGAAGGAGCAAATTTCTGCTTGGATCTCCGTCAATTTGGTAAGCAATTAAAATATTGATTAATTCCATCAGTAAAATACTAATTAAAAAGCACATTTCACTGTTTGAAATCTTGGATATATACAAATATTATTCCAAATCTTTCATTCTCCTTTGAAGTAAATTTATGCAGCAATGTAAGTCTTAATTAGCAGCAGGCTTTTAACTTTGCTCTCTTTATTTTGATCCTGGTTTTAAACTAATAATATTATTTTACTGCATATCAAATTGGATGGATCTGCTTAGTTTTGTTCTTTAGAGCACTTGTCTGTCCTTATCAAATCCCTTCTACCCTTATCATCTATGGGTAGGTAAGCCCCTTTGATTGGTAGACACAGTAATGGATTGATCTCTAGAATTTATTGATTACCTTTTTTCTCCCATATGTGGTAAGAAATCCTTGGTGATCTCAACCAAACTCAGGGAGCAGCGAATATTGCTTGTATCTTTTTTTTCTGTCATCTTTTGATTTTAAAAAATGATTTACCAAATTTATATAGCTTTCCATGTCATAGATATGACTCTGATTTCTTATTTTTACTAGTTTCATTAAAATCTTAAACTATTTATAATTTTGATAATTCTACATTTTGATCTATTTATACTTATAATTGTTTATATTATTATTGAATTGAATTTAATTATTTTCTTGTTTAAAAAAATATTTAACTTACAATGTGGCAGCCAAAAATATTATGAAGGAATATATAGCTGACCATTTCATGACCATGTTATGTTAAACCTGTGAAAGCAGAAAACAGTTATATTTTTGTACAAAAAATTGTAATCAGCAACAATCACCTGATTCCTAAAACAAGGTTATTCTTTAAATTGTTTTTAAATGTTATGCTATCAATTAATTGGATTTTCTTATATATAAAGGTGAGGGATGTGGTTCAGTGGCTAAGACACTGAGCTTGTTGATCAGAAAAGTTGGCAGTTCGACAGTTCGAATCCCTAGCACTGTGTAACGGAGTGAGCTCCCATTACGTGTACCAGTTCTGCCAACCTCGCAGTTTAAAAGGCTGTAAAAATGCAACTAGAAAAATAGGGACCACCTTTGGTTGGAAGGTAATAGTGTTCCGTGAGCCTTCGGCATTTAGTCATGCCAGCCACATGACCACGGAGACCTCTTTGGATAGTGCTGGCTCTTTGGCTTTGAAAAAGAGATGAATACCGCCCCCTAGAGTCGGGAACATATAGCACATAATTGTGAGGAGAACCTTTATCTTTTATACATAAAGCTATGTTTAAGTTTATTAATTGTCAATTTCACTAATGAATACATAATACATATGCATCAAAAATCACTTACTGTTTCATTTGTTCCAGGAATTGTAACAATTGGAGAAGAAAAAAAGATTTGTACAGCATCTGAAAATTTCCTCAGGATGTGTGAATCTACTGAGGTAAACAAAACTATGAAAAGTTTTGTTATTGTATAAAGACATTAATTAATGCTTTTCTAATTCCTTAATATTTAACAGCAAAAAGTTAAATACTAATTCTGATTATTCTGTTTGTTGTAAGTCCTTTTCAACTGATGGAGGTTGAATGGTCATAAATAAAATCCTTAATACCATCATATTTTTGATTGAACAAATTACTGAATGATTAATACAAAAAGTGATGTTTTTAATAATAATATCAGGAAAAAGTATTTTATGGTTGATGTATACATTAATAAAGGACTTACTATTGTTCATTTTCAATTGAAAATGAAACTCAGTGGCAATGTGCCATTATCTTTTAGTCAAACACTTTCCATGTCCTAGTATAGAAAACGATAAAATATATCAACCTGAGCCTTCATTGGATCAACATATTATCAGTTTCTTTAGCCATAGGGCTAGTTCAGACATAATTATCTTTCATTTCCAAGCCAATATTGGGAAGATTAAATTATATTGCTCTATATACTCCATCTCATCTGCTCCAGTTAAATCATATATTAGTTTTTCATATTTTTTTATTTAAAAAGAGAAGAGGTGAAATAACGTTTTGACTAGATTGCACTTTTGGTTAGCTCACAGTTTATCCAGTACAGGTATAGCTGTCTTTCTCTTCTCCAGATAAATGTAGTTTTGCTTTCATCTGGGAAAAAGAGAGAACAAAAGGCAGAAGGAAAATACTGAGGAAAAAAGTTCAACGCCTGTTTACTTGCTAAAGTATATTTTGTTTTTGCATTGACAATTTGGCTATCAATGAAACCAAGACAGCTTTCCCCAATTTTCAAGGGTGCTGTAAATAAAATAATGAATAATAGTAGTGAAGTCAATAAATCAATGTATTTCAAAACTTTAACAATATGACTATTTGTGTGTGCACTGTGATATTTGCATAGTATGGGTTTAGTTGGTGTTCTTAGTTTGTAATTTTTTTTTCTTTCTTTTGTAGCTGAACATGACATTCCATTTGTTTATTGTAGCCCTTGCTGGGGCTGGAGCAGCTGTCATTGCTATGGTAAGATTTAGGCAACTTTGCTTTTATAATAAATTGTAATCTATGTCCCTGGGATCCTTATAACATAAAGCTAATCACAGAAACTTTGAGGCTCCATCAGGTAAAAATGTGTGGAAATACATGTCAAAAGAGATAGGGAATATGAACTCAATAGGGAATTAGCCCAATATCCTTCAGTAAGCATTGTGATCATTAGAAGAGCCGAGGTGGCGCAGTGCTTAGAGTGCAGCACTGCAGGCTACTTCAGCTGACTGCAGTTCTGCAGTTCGGCTGTTCAAATCTCACCGGCTCAGGGTTGACTCAGCCTTCCATCCTTCCGAGGTGGGTAAAATGAGGACCCAGACTGTGGGGGCGATATGCTGACTCTGTAAACCGCTTAGAGAGGGCTGAAAGCCCTATGAAGCGGTATATAAGTCTAACTGCTATTGCTATTGCTAACTGCTATTAGCCCAAATAATATCACCCTATTCAGTTGTCCTACAACTCATTAATGATTGTTTGGAAGGCAGTTTTAAGCACTCAAAGAATTATAGACACAAAATAAAACATATAAAATCATTTCAGTAATAATTTTAGCATCTAATAGTCATTTGGTCCTGCAAACCTTAAACTTTTTTTTTACTTTAATAATTTCTATTTGGCTCTTTAGAAACAGGCAAAAAATATTTACTAATTTCAACAATTTCTTAGTTCAGATTTGAGTGTTTTAGCCCCAAAACAAACTGATATTACAATACCAAAATTGAATGGCAAAATTATGAAATTTGGCCAACAAAAGTTTTTCTTTATATTTTTAGCAAAATCAAAGGTGAGAGTGGCTATCTTAAACCTTGCAAGACATAATATATTCCTTTCAATACTTCCCAAATCTTCCTAACACTCCCCGAAAGGGCTAATATTTTAGGTTTTGGTTTGTTAATGTTTCGAGGTACACTCCATGCGCAACAACTACCAAAGTTGGTGGTTGTTATTATTATATTTTTCAGACTAGAACTGGGATTGATTCTTTTAAATAACTTAATTTTTAAGAGTGCCAGGTAAATGATGTTGTTCATTATAATACATTTAATTATTTTATATTATAATTTTTTAACTTTTATACTTGCCTATATAAAAATAATTCTTGCTAAAACAGCTATAGTCAGAATGTTCACAACAATAAAATTTCATACCTAAAATAAAATTTTCGCTGCTTTATATAGTAAACACAGTAAACATTATATCATAGAAAGTTATTTGGCACATTAAAATATTGCAGATTTTCAAATGATTATGAACAGAAAAGAATTGCCGATAAGAATAACATTCAAACTCTACATTAAAAACAACGTTATTATATTTTAATGATGCCAGTAACAGGTACAAAATGAGACCATCAGTGTAACCCCTATGATAAAAATGTACAATCAGATATGGGTCAAAATATTTGGTTGGGTTTTGAGTTTTAGTTCTTGAAATTACATCTGTTTTTTTCAAGTTTTCATACTAAAACCATCAAAAGTAGTTTTTATGTTGAAAGGGCAACTGGACTGGCAAGGCAACCACCCTCTTTCAACAGAAGAGGAGGGATAAGATACCACCTATCCCCAATTTACAATGTAGTCATTCTGTCTGTTCCAAAAAAGATTCCATACTTCTGATTCAGGTGACTCTGAGGTCACAAACAAAACCCCAAGTAACCACAATGGCTCTCAGAGTTAAGACTAGTTGAATGCAAAGAAAACACAATCTTTCCATCCCCCCCCATCCTATCAGAATGTATCATTTCCCCTCACACCAACTAATCTCAACTGTCAATAACTGTCCTTCCATCTCCCACAGTGTCCAATACAACTGATGAAGCTTCCAGAGTAAAATGTCTTGTTTTTCCTCAAAAAATTAGTCCAGTTGCATTTTCAAAATAAAAAATACTTTGACTATGACCTGGATAACTGAGCATCTTCATAAATACTAAAAGCAATTGTGCAAACGTTCCTGAAAATTGGACTTGGTTCAGAGGACTATAAAATCCTTGAGCTAGCTCTCAGGTTATATATGACGCTTGTAAGTAAAATAACTGCATACTTACTTACTCTGCAAATTTACTTACTCTGAGGCCTTTTGACCAATTATTTGGAAAGCGTTGCCCTTGATCTCAGAGAGACTGTCTCTTTGTAAGCTCCGTTTCTGACAACATTGTACCAAGAGTATACCAATCTGTTTTTTGACATCTCCATTTCCATACCTGTTTAGTTTCACTGCATCCTGACTTCCAAGAATTGGGCCTGGCATGGAGATAAAGTGATTCTTTTAAATTGGTTATGTTATAGCAATAGCAGTTAGACTTATATACCGCTTCATAGGGCTTTCAGCCCTCTCTAAGCGGTTTACAGAGTCAGCATATTGCCCCCAACAACAATCCGGGTCCTCATTTTACCCACCTCGGAAGGATGGAAGGCTGAGTCAACCCTGAGCCGGTGAGATTTGAACAGCCGAACTGCAGAACTACAGTCAGCTGAAGTAGCCTGCAGTGCTGCATTTAACCACTGCGCCACCTTGGCTCTCTCTCACATTAAAGCCCCTTTGAATTCCCATAGAATACTGGGATTCCTATCAGAGAAATTAAGGAATACTTTTTAACTCATCAAATCCACCTTTCCCACCAAAATACGAAGCCACTGGCCACAAGAGAGAATTTGTCTTCTGATACCCATTTTCTAAAAGTTGTTCTTCCAGCAACAAGAACATTGAAACACCCCTGCTGTATAGCAAGAAGGAGCTTTTGCTGGACAAGCAGTAGCTTCTTATATAACAAAGGCATATTCTCAGCGTTGAAATAAAAGCAGAAGCTAGGTAGGAAGGAAGTTAAAAAAAATAAAGTTATTAAAGTTAATGTTAAGAAAGATATGGACCTGGGTTAGTTTGAAGAAAAGGCAAAAAGTGTAGTGTAATAATTCTGCGCTGCTATGAATAGAAATCATCAAAACCAGTGCTGTAAAAGTCAACACACACACACACACACACACACACACTTCAATACTTAGCAAAATTTTGGGGGCTTTCATAGTCAATAGGAATAAATAATAAAGTGAGTAAATGAAATGGAGTGTAGCCAAAAGGTTAAATAATTACTGAACAACTAAAGAAAAACAAAAACAGGAATATGTAGGAACATATTTCCAACCAACGAAAAACCATAGAGAAAAAGAATAATTGCAAAATTAAGAATAGCAAGCAAATTAGTATTTTGGGTTTGGTTTTTTTTGTTTGCCATGACTTATTTTAAGAATATAATTGTTTTTTTTAATTCCTGATTATTTTAGTAAAGAGCTTTTAAAGTACACACATTCTAAAAGTATTCAAGTGGGTGTGATAAAATGTAATATTAAATAAAGTGATTAAAAGCACAAACTTCCTTCCTTCCTTCCTTCCTTCCTTCCTTCCTTCCTTCCTTCCTTCCTTCTCAGGTCCACTATCTTATGGTTCTGTCTGCTAACTGGGCCTATGTGAAAGATGCTTGCAGAATGCAGAAGTATGAAGATATTAAATCAAAGGAAGAGCAAGAACTACATGATATTCATTCTACCCGCTCCAAAGAGCGGCTTAATGCCTACACATAAGGGAAACCTTGTCTTACTTTCTACCATTATTTGCTTTGTTGTTTAAATAAAGGCCACCCATCTTTCCATTTTTAAAATCAAAATGAAAAAGTGCTTCTCACAAAACAAAGTAGGGTGACTTGTACATTGCCCCTATATAATTCTTGGTTGTCCTGCACTTGGTTTCTTAATTAGTTAATAGCTTATGTGATCAGTTTCTACTACAAAGCTCCTGAAACAGCCTTCCCTGCATCCTAAAATGGTTTTCTGTTAGATCCAGAATACTTAACTATCGTCAAATACAGAGATGTGTTTTTTTAAAAACCACTTCATATGTGTTACACATAACACTTTTTTTCTTATATGTTTTTGAAAAAGAACAAATGGCTTTTTATACTTTTTAGTTTGGATTTTAGTAAGTACTTTAACTACAGGTATACTTCTAAGGGACCACTCGTACCCCATGTACAATTTTTTGAGGAGGCACACTGCTGACATTCCTTCAGATTTGGAAATCTTACCAGATGGACCAGTGGGCATCTTGATGGAGGGTCCTGAGAACATTTTAAAAACAATTAAAGGTGCAATTTCTAAATTTGTAAGAGTAGGTAAAAAACAAAAAGAAGTGCTTCTTATCTTTGTTAACATTGTATTATCCTTGATGTACTTAATGGAGTATTCACTATTTTAAAGTTTCATTGATAGCTATTCCTGTTTATATTGTGAGCATGCAGACCGTGGTGCTTGTAATGCATGGCCATGCGTCTTTTTCAAAGCGTATGATGACCACAGTTACCTTCAAGATTTGCAGTGTATAGACAAATGTTACATAGAGTTATGTATAGGTTTCTACAGAATGACCTCTGTAATCCCAAAATGGCGATGCTAAACTGGAGCTGTTAATGTGCTGATCTGCGCAATTTTTGCTTAGCTATATTTATAAAAATACTATATAATACAGCAACCTTAAGAGCCAGAGTCTTTTTACCTGCTTTAAACAATTAAGTGGATTGCACCTGTCTGAACTATACATAGAATGTATGTGATCTTTTTTGAGGAGGCTTCCATAATTGTAAAAGCTTGGCTTGTAGCTTTCCTACACACATACTGGTTTACCTGTATAATGTTAAAGTGGATTTAATGGCTGCTACTGGAGCTATTGTTTGGAAATGTTAGTAATATATTTAAACCTTTATTTTCAGTAAGAAAGTATTAAGAGAAAAGTCAGTCATGTTAATCTGAAAGAAGTACCTGTTTAAAAACAAACAAAAACACATAAAAACATACAAAACATTTTTAAAAAGTATTATTGGACCAAATTTGGTGTTTTTATTTTTATTTTGCCTATTTCTAATGCTACAAGAATGCTGTAAAGTGTCTTTTAAAGTGATGTATTCTGACAAGACATTTTTGTCAGTGTTTTTAAAAAAACCTAGCTAGTCTGTGCACTTATTGGATCATTGTGAATTCTTTCTCAGTGTAAGTGCATTTCTAATAAAAATTCTTGAGTAAAACTCTTCTTTGTACAATTACTAGTCATGCATCATCAGTAATTTTTACCAATTCTTGTAGTAAGTAGAGGGTAATTCAATAGTTACTTGTGGCATGTTTATGCATCAAGTTGTATTAGTTCATTTTGCATTTTTTACATTTGTTTTGTTTTGATTTTATTTTATTTTTTACACTTTACTGTCTTATAAGAGGTCAACATTCCAAAATGTGCAGTACCAGTATTTACAGTTCTGCAGAGGTATTATTAACTTCTTTCTATTCTATATTGTAGTGTTTCAGTTTTGTGTCTTAAAACAGTTTGTGATGCTTTTTAAAATGTCTTTTAAACTCATGTAATGATGTTGATGCTTTTGGCTTTTCTCTGTATTAGAGTTTGTATTTTCACAAAGAATGCTTTGTAGCAGGCATTATAATTAATCTGTTTTGTACATAAATGTGCCAACAGCTTGATGGTGGCGTTTTTGAACTGTAGAACCAAGTGCTTGCAAAAATGTAATAAATACACTTGTGTACTTTGTGTACTTATTGATTGTCTGTGTTTCATTTCTCTTTTTTTTTTTCTGAAGAAGTTTTTATTTGTCAAAGATATCACACATTAGTGGTAGATTAGATTAGATTAGAAAAATATCAGAGAAGTGAATCTCTGAAGTAAATTGTTATATACTTACCTGAGAATTGTTTTCAGGGATATTATGATTACATTATTCATCTTAATTGTGAAAATAAGAGCAAATGAAATATATAACTCCATATTCAAGATATAATTCTTTACTCATTTAAACGTCAGAAGTGTGTAATAAGCAACCCATGGAGAAGATATATTATTTTCTGGCACTGCAGCAATTCAGTAGTAGAGTATCAAATTATAGAGAAAAAATAAAATAAAATAGGTCTATGCTTTTTTTAAGTCAACATCTGAAAGATAGTAAGATGCAAACAGGCTCAATATTCTAGTCCCATCTCTTCAGTGATATCCCTGCCATGTTTTCTACAACCAAAGATATCAACTGAGTTCATGCTCAAACAGTTTGCTCGTTCTGGATTTGTAACAGACACTGTACTGCTGATAATGCTATTTCTGATAGTTTATAACATCAACCTTTAGCAAGCTTCTTCTTGAAATAATCAAATTAATTTGCTCTATTTCAAAGACCAGGGCTTTAAAAATGTAAATCTTTAAAAATGTAATCAAATCACTCTTTTAGACAATGAGAAATGTTAAAAAAACAAGAGTAGAGTAATAAAGGAATAGAGTGAGCAAAAACAAACAAATATAAATACAAAACACTGGATCCATCTCAGTTCACGAACAGCATTTGGATAGTGTAATATAATACTTTAAATAGATTATTATTAAGACCAAAATTAAAACTTGGGACTAAAACTGTGAAATTTATTTACAGAATTTATCAGATTTCTGTATACCTTTCCTAAGTGATTCTAAGTAACTTAGTTACCTTTTCACCTTACGTTTTATCTCTGTTTGATACCAAATTGAAGTTCTTCATATTTTCCTTATATTTGTAATTCTAAAAGGCCCTTTTAAAACCAAACTCCAAAAATGGCCATTATTCATCATTTTGGTTTTGGGGAGCACTTTTAAGGACCCATAATTTTACCTGGAACATAGAACAAAATCTTAATTTACCTAACATTGGATTAGCAAACTCAGAATGTATTAAAAAATTAACAAATACATATGGAAAGGATTCTAATTCAGTAGGTCAAAATCATTTAAATATCATGATAATAAGGAGTTAATTGGAATATCAACTCAAAGACTTGAGATTTCACACTAAGCTCCAGAAACCTAATATTTATTTTAGACAACACAGGCAAACCATAGAGATTTTAAAACAAAAAACATCCTAGCAATTTAACTATCATACTATTTTCTTGAGAACAATATTTCCTTTGGAGAACCAGAAAACCAGTTTCTAACACATCTTACTACACTATGAATAGACAGTGTTAGCTAAAGGTAATTAAATATAACCCTTCCAAAGGAAAATAAATAAATTCTTTCAATCCAGAAATTGGCTTTCCCCCAGGCTCTTTGGAGGAAAATAAAATATTTCTGCTGTCCTCCATAAAACTTTGAAATGAGTTGCCCAACCTGAGATGGATTAAAAAAAAATGGTTAAAAAGAGTGGGGTTTTTGCACATGCTGTTTTCATTGCAATATCCCAAAATCCCTCCTAAGCATTCCTGTGTAACTAACAAGCAGCACTTTTGGGCATCAAGAACATGTATTACCTTCACTAATCCAAGAAACGGGTAATGAAATCAACCTTTGTGGGTGCAACATAGGTTTGAATGTGAGAGTGATACAAAACACCCCTAGGAACAATTTATGCATCACAACTCCCTTTTTTCCTAATACAAAGGTTGATTATGTTAGCTGTTACTTGGATTAATTGCAAGAGGCTTATTACATCTTCTTCAAAAAATACTTACAATTCATTTAGCACCTGATTTTTTTTCTCCTAGACTCCATCTGAAATAGAATTTGGATACCCTAATTTTCGTTTTCAGTTACACTTCACCTTCTCACACCATTTTCTCCCTGAAGTGCTAACATTGCTACCTTCCTTTTCAAAGTGCTTAAAACGATGGGTAAAACCTGATGTCTTTTTGAAACCTAAAATCTTCTGCTAGCTGGATTTATTTAACATGTATGTGTGTTGCATTTGAAAGACACTGTACCCTTTAAAAATTTTTATGTGCCTACATCTTTGATCAAATCTAGAACTTTGTATTTAGTTTTGGCTTACACACAGAAGCACATACTTACTTTGCCTATCAAGTAACTAAAAATGCTAAACTCTGGCAGATAATTTGCCCTGTTGGTAATGGATGAGGATTGCTTGCAGAACCTGAATTCCATTTCCAACTATCATTTCAGTAATTATTCATTGTAGGCATACTAATTAAGTCCATGTGTTTATATCCAGCAGAATAAATTAACACTAAAAAAACCTCACAGCAATGCTTATTTATAAATAACATGTATAGAATCTATAGTTTACTGATCATATATATTAAAAATCTATATTACTTTGATAAGAGGATCTTTGGTAGTTGCATGGATAATTATGGAATCCATTTTCTACTGTGAGGTTCATTGCATTAATAGTTTTAATTATCATTCAGAGGACATCTGTCTGTAAATGAACCTTGTGCTTGCTCTTTCTTGTAGAAAATTTGCAGGTGCAGGAAAACAGAAGTGACACTGTACTGCATTGCTGAATAAGTCTGAAGACATTTTAAAAAATTGATCACTGGTTTTGGGCTTAATCACTAAAGAGAGTGTTCAGTCTGAAACCATCTATTGAAGAATGGCTGCACACTTGGTATTCTTTCTCTCTTGTATAGCTTAATTTAGAATATTCATGAATGCAAGAAAATGGTTGAACTTGGAGGAAGACGACAGGAAAAAAAAGAGACATCTAGTGGCCACAATGTGGCAACTCAAGAATGCATTAAGAATTTTACATAACTGAGTCTTTGCAGCCGGGTGCTTTTATTATACTTTTATTATTATTAACATTTGCAGCACGTTTGCTTTCTGACCTGACTTTCAATTCTTCTAATTTAAGTTCAATTTTGTTTTGCTTTTTCTATTATGGGAATGTACACAGGTTCCATGACTTACGTTTTTTAATTATTCTTTATCCAGTTAATACTGCACAGAAATGCAATGCAATTTTATGCTGTTTTTTAAACAATTATGCACAACAAAACTACTAATGCAAATTAATAAGCATAATATGATCAAAAATTAAAATGAGCAATTATTCTTTTCTGCCTTGCTGATGTAAAAATTTGCAGTAATGTACTTCCTAACCTTTACATTACACTTCCCTATATTTGGGGGCAAGTCCCAGTGAACTCAAAAGCTAAGTAATATAATTAGTTTGATATAATTCATGATTAAAGACTATGATTTATAAAACACAATTGGTAGAATCACCCACCCTGTAAATTGTAAACCAAAGAAAACACATTATGGCTTAGTGTGATGAAAGCATTAATCCATATATGTGATAGTTTCCTATTAAGGTTCCTATTAAGGTGCAGATAAAAACTCAATAATAAACTAAAACTTTCATTTAGCCAATACTTTCTTTTGCTACTTTACTCCCTATTCTGTTGTTTGTGTCTTTTAATCAAACTTTGTGACATGGAGGCTGGATCCTACAATGCGATCACACTAACTGTGGATTAGCAAAGACGGCTGCTGTATATTTTGTGTTCTCGATACGATATTAGCAACTTGTGCCCTGACTCCCAGTCATATTAAAAATGATAGCTAGGTTCAAGCAACATTCTGATCCACAAGAACTTAATCTTCATTTATGTAGCTAAATTGTGCAAATCTCATCATTGTGTCATCCCATGCAACCATTAGGTATCCCAAATACACTTGCATTTTCTGTAATGAGGCATAACAATTTCTGGAACAGACATGCAGAACAAATGGTGCAACACTGCAACATGCATGGAACGGGATCAGTTTCAACTGAGATATCATAACACACAATGCAACATTTACTTCCTTTGTCCCTCCTGCAGATCTCCATAAGTAAATTAGTACTCTAATTTAACCTGCAAGAGGGACAACCCTCAGATTTTTCTGCGCATCTCTTTAACAATTTGTGTACAGATTCAGAAGTGGCAGATTTGGTAAGTTTGTAGAAAAATTCAGAGTGTACAAATATCAGAATATCTCTGGCTAAAATATCCCACAATATTTCACCAAACATTATGCAAGCAGTGAAAAATCTGTTGTGATAACAGTCTACGTGTGCAGGGCTTCTGGTATAATGCAGAATTACTTTATTCTGCAATTGATGTTTAACTAATAAGCATAATACAGAGAACAGATAATTTTACAAGTAGAATAAATACATTTCTAAATGCTTATCTATGGAGTTCCCCAATGTGACATCTTTGGGCACCAACTGTATCCATGTACCCTTAACATATAAAAAGCTATATTGACCTGCCTATGTTCTTAAATATTTCCCTTAAGGTTGCTCTAAAGAAAAGTCCCAACTAATTATAGCATTTTTATTTATAAGAAAGCCACTAGGCTCCTAGGATATCAAGAATATCTGTGGAGCATGATCCACAGTCTTTTGCAGAAGATTCACTGTGAGATGTACATATTAAAAGGTAGTGATTTGAACTGTTGCTGCAATTTTCATTTAGACTTGAGGGATCCTTGGTGCTTGATGTTTGATTATCCAAATAGGTAATGAATTGCTCCTAGTAACAAGTAGGGTTTGTGCTCAATTTATATTCTAGTGACTTATTTGTCACTGGTGTGTGGTGGTCTTAGTGTTTCTTTGGTTGGGATAAGACCACTCCTACCACCACTAATAGACAAGCCACTAGTATATAAACTGAGAGCAACTTACTAGCACTGACAGTGTTACCTAGTTTGGGTAATAAAACATTTGCAAGAAAACAACCAGGCTCACAGGATGCCAAGGACACTTAAACTCTAAGCTATAAATATT